GTTCAGATAGCTCAGTTCATAAGTACACTGAATAAAACTTTCACAGTCCATTCTTTATATAATGCAGCATAGAAGGTTTGATGTCCTCTGGTCAAGCAACTTCTAGAAGTACCCCATCCCTATGGTAATTAACATTTCTTGCAGTAAAATGTGTGAGACAGTAAGCATAGCAACTGTGGAAAATTAGCTGAGATTTCATTTTGTTGGTAATAGATTTGTACTTATTCTGTACCAAATATATCTATAGTTACTAGCATGCTTTAGTGGTTTTATCTTTTTGTTTTTTTAATACTATGAACTGCTTTCAGCACTAGGAGAAAGGGAAAGGCCAGAAAATGAAATGAGCAAAAAGCACTGGAACTGGCAGTACACTAATATCTGCCTACATACCTTAGCAAACAGCTGCAAGCAACTACACTCTTATACCTGATCTCTAAAACTGCAGACAAAACATAAAAGCACAAGGCTATATGCTGCTAGTATCATAGCTAAAGTTGTCATATGCTGCTTGAAAATTTCACAGTGGTTGTATTCCCTGAAGCACTTTCATATCTTGTGTTTTGAGAATGTGATTATAGCATAGCATAAGCTATTACAGATAAAATTTGTTGCATTGTAAATAATTACACAGTAAGAAAAAACCTTCCTCTGGCAGGTGAATTGACTAGGTGTCAGCTAATAATAGTTTTCTAGACACTAGTGACTAAGATTATGTAATTCTTGAACAAGCAGGAGTGAAAATTCTTTCAAGTCTCTTATTTTGCACTTGAATAGGTTAACCATCTGCCTCTATCTATGAATAAAGCTCTGATATTGAGCAAACCTGCGATATCAGAGTTTCCAGCAATTTGTTCCATGTAGAGGTGCCTTATGTTAACCAGTAATGAAAGGCTCCTTTTCCTCAGCTGAACAGCAACTATGCAAAGGAAGAAAAGACACTGCGAACATGTATGGGAACTATGATCCAGGGCTTTAAGTGATTGTGAGCTATGATATTTGACTACATGACACGGAAGGACTTTTATTAAGACACACTTGCACAACCCGAGGCTACTCCGCCAGCTGGAACTTCCTGACTATGTGGCCAGGGGGTGAGGGGTGGAGGTCTATTCCATCAGATCCATGTTTTAGATAAACATTTTAAAAAGCATAGGCATAATCTAAAAGCAGTGCACATCTAAGAACGGGCTAAAAAGAAAGCATTTGGTTAGAAATGGCCAAAAGGGTCTTCCACGGCTAACATCTTAGAGCAACATCTTCATATTCATAAAATCTAAGAAGTGGTCACATGAGCTGAGATGTGAAGCCACACAGGAAGACTACCTACTAAGACAGAAAGAGAAAAGATGGACATAGGCTGAGTAGAAGTTAGGCTGAGAAGTCAACAGAGGACTACCAAAGCCATGGCAATTTCCCATGCTCCTGGATTCAGTATGTTAGCACATAAGCAAAAATGGAGGGAATAAGATCAGGAGAAAAAATAGGTAGGATGCTGTAAACAAGATAAACATCTTTCATTTGCAGGTACTTTCCAGCAGCCAGAATTTCTCTAGGGTATCATCCACACTGTGAGATATCACTTACCAGCAAGGTGGTCATAGGATGACTATCAGGGATAAGATGCATTGAAACACACACCTATGATAGAAAAACCAACCTTCATGTGAAGGTGGTCCAAATGCTAGGCACCTAATGTTCTTATACCTCAAGGATTAGGGTCTACTGTCAAGAATTCTTAGATTTAACCAAGACAGATTCATGTAGAGATCTCAATATTTTGTGTGTGCATATGAATGGGTATAAATAAGCACTGGGAAACAATAAAGAACCCACTGGAATTTTTCCTTGGACAGGTGACAGAGAAGGGAAATGATGGCAATGAAAAGAGTTTGACTTCTTTTGCCTTTCTCCCGAGGCCTTAAATTCATCTTCTGCCAGTCTGCAGACATGTCACAGCTTCTCAAACCAAACTGATAAATTATTTTGGAAAGAAAAGAATGAATGGCCCGGATAGTTCTCAAAGATCTGGGGATTAGCTCTCCTTTCTGTATTTGTTCCCCAGTAGCTGGGACCCAGACTGCTGCCTTGTCTGATGTCAGAAGCAGATACAAGCAGCATTGAACAAATCAACCACAAGTTAGTCTGGTACAGTCAGCCCTGGCAAGTAACGCACTGTAATCACAGGAAGACATCTATCCCTGTTCTACTCCCTAAAATCCCTTAACCGGCAATTCCATGAAAGGACCCAAGGTTCATCTTTGCAAAACATGCACATGCCTACATAGCAGCCATCCCTTCCAAGGAACTTTAGACAAGTTAGGATTTCTAATGTTTCTCTGAGAAATGATCCACTTCAGTTCACATGTGCCATGACCTTTTTTTCACTCTCAATAAGTAACCCTCACTTGTCTCAGATTTGCATTTCCCTAATGGGCAGTAAGCTCTGCTTGACTGTTATCAGAGTTTGACGGCTATACAATGACTTCGGCTTCCCGTCTAAGGGAGTGATTGTATCAAAGTCTGAATGGGACAGTGGCAGAATTATGTCATGTCTGGAGGACGGAATCTTATCGGACCTCTGGCTGAAAGACAGAGATGCCCAGCTGCAGGAACATAGCACACACCCCATACTCTGGTGATAGTCCTCCTCTTTCCCACTTTCCCCCACTTTTGCATCCCAAAAAGGAATGGTCTCTTCAGCTCTCCAGAACTCATGAAACATATGACAGCATGAAGGAATAAGCAGACAGATTCAGACATGGTAGATAGCAACAGTCTGAGTTTTAAATTAAAAAGGACAAACAGGGACTACTTTCCATGAAGTACACATACCCCATAGCCCTTCCATCTGAAGTGTGCACTTCTTTGCAAAAAGGGTGATTCATTAGAAAAAAGTAACCTGCAAAGGGGCCTTCAGTGTGTCCAGTGAGTTCCCTGGAGCCTGGTCCACATGCTGACATTTTTCTCTCTTGCACACAGTGTGAGAGGTGCACATAGCTTTGTTTAGGAACACAGAACATGTGTAGCTGCTATATCGACTTGTGCCATTGGTCCATCTCACATGGTATTGTCTTTCAATGTCCTACCTGGAGATGCCAGGAACTGATACCTTCTGCATGCAAGCAGGTGTTCTACAACTGGGCTACATCCATTCCCCACAAAAGCACTTAGAGATTTTGTTTTGTTAGCTCATGGGGCAGAGAACTATCAAGAGAATTATCAATAAGGTAAAAAAGGTAAAAAGCAGAGACACATACAGATGATGATGACGACGACGATTGTAGCAACACACAAAGCCTGCATTGTGATCAGAGGCTTATTGTGTTATTAAGTCATATGCCAATGCATGAACAGAGGAAGCAGGCATGTTGCTTTTATTTACAGATGAAAGAACAGAGATACTGACTACTGGGGATTTAGCTAGCTCTTTCTGAGAAGCCTGAGCAGGACAGGGGACTGAGGTAGGGTGGTGTGAGCCCTGTGCAAGATGGTTTTCTGTTCGAAAGATTAAGCTTCTTCTTCCTAGCCTCCATTCCCAAGGTTGAAAGCTACGTCCTAGTAGCTCGCACACACATTCTTTTCTATCAGGAGACCATCTAAATCTTGGGAAGAAATCCCAATGCTCTGGAAAACCAATCTGAATAGTTGCTAGTTGGGCTGAGGCATCTTCTATTTGCCACATAGAGTGAGACCAGCCCCAGGTTATCATTAACCTTATTTTCTATTTCTAGCATCTAACTCCCCTTCTGCTTTTCCTGTAGCCAGCCCACGTGCATAGAGCTACAGACCTATTTCTACAGTTTGATAACGGAACAGATTGGTCACATGCTGTTGTCACCCACCCACACATCACTGCCCCCACCTCAGAGGACTCAAAGAGTTCCTGCTGAGAGAGGGAATGCAGTTCTCTGTCTTGTTTCACCATCTATGCAATTTGACACATTTTAAGCTAAATTCTCAATTTGTCAATTTTGCTGAGGATCTGGAGCTTTCTCACTAGGAAAGATGACAGCCGCAGAGTCAAGGAATAAAACTATAGAGACAGAGGGATAGTAGCTGAATTTTTTCTACTCATATTCCCTGTACTTGGGAAGCTGACCTCCATCAACCCCAACTCCTTTCCCCAGTAGTCCCAAAGCTACTTTGCACCAACTGTGATAGGCAGTGTGGTATAATGGTTAAGAGAGTGGGACTGACTCAGGAGATCTGGGTTCTAGTCCACACTCAACCATGGAGCTCACTGGGTGACTTTGGGCCAGTCATAGATTTTCTTCCCAAACTACCACAAAAGGTTTTGATGTAAAGATAAAGATGGAGAGGAGAAGCCACCTTGAGATCCTTAAGGATCTCCCTGAAAGGGGAAAAGGCAGGATATAAATGTAATAAATATTACATATAACTGGAAGCACCCAAAAGAAAAGATATGAACATGGCTCACACATTTACTGGGTAATGTGTGAAGAAGGAAACTGCTTGTCTTACCTGCGAAAAGTTCCAGAGGTTTAGGGAACTCATACATCCTACTGCTCAGGAAATGAGAAATTTCCTTTTTTTAATATGTTGCAGCAGGAGTAGGAAAATTAGGATATGCTAGCTACCCAAACATCACCTATTTCACTCTACCATCTGCATCCATCCTCAGGTCCACATGCACTGTCTTACAGGAGATGGCATAGCCTAAATCATAGTACCTAGGAACTTTACCATAAATTCTGTATAAGGCTACAGCTCAGAACTCAACCTGGATCTGCAGGCTGGTATCACCTAAGGCTACTATTGTGTCCCCATCAGGATGCCATCGAAGAACAACTCAAGATATGGACACATATGCTTGTTAAGTAACCAATCTCACTCTATCACTGGAGATTCTCTTGCAACAAGAACAGTTTTGGCATCAAATGTGATGCATATCCTCCAAGTTTAATACTTAGAGCTCCACTTTAGGGACTGTGATATTGTAAATTAGGTTTGTAGCTCCAAAATCCTAGGCTGAGCTTTACCTTCCAGGTAGCTGTGTTTCTCCTGAAGTAGGCAAACATTCGTGTGAACCAATTGTAGATTTCATTCAATGTTAGCTGCCTGTCAGGTGTCTCAAGGATAGCCTGCATTTAAAAAGAAGAAAAAGTTATTTGCATCCCCATCTCTTCCTCCAATCCTTGGTCCTAGGTGAGTAATTTGGAGCTATTATTTATCAAAATACTTATGTATGTTCAGCAGCTTTTTCACCACCCATTTCATAGAACTGAACTTAAGACAAATTAACACATCAATATTTCTCATTTGATGAGTGCAACATCAAGTAAGGACTGGTGTACATGAAAGAGCTACTACAAAACAAACACTACTACAGGTTTCATTTTGTATCATGCTACCCTCAAAACAAAACATTTTCTATAAAGGCAGTTCATATCATAATTGAGAAGCAAGTAAGGCATTGAGAGTAACATGTGCGTATATGTCAACTAGCCAGAATAAAGCCTCCATTAAAGATACAGGAGAGCTCAGAGATGTAGCAAGGTAATTGCTTATCCCAAGGCTACAGACCAAAGTAGCAAAAGTCAGGGTTGTTATCTATAATGGATTGAACAGGCAGTGCTTAATCAGAAGGGGAGGTGCAAGGAGTTCACACTTGCTTGAAAATTACACTTAGAATTTAGGGGCTCTACTGTCTTAGACTAGATGCACTGCAGCTAGTTTAACAAAAGAAGACATGCTGTATGTCATGGGTCCTCAAACTAAGGCCCGTGGGCCGGATTCAGCCTGCCATGCCCATTTAACCAGCCCACCCCACAGGTTTTGCACTTGCCGGGTGTGCGGCTTGCTCGCGAGGAGGTGGTTGCTTTGGACTAGCTTGGAGAAAATGATCTCCTCGCAAGCAAGTCGGTGCCTCATTGTGCATGCACCCAGCGGCGGCTTGCTCGCAAGGGGGTCGTTTTGGACTCGATCTCCTCTCGAGCAAGCCGGTGCCTCGCCCCGCCCCCCCCATCCCTGCCTTGCACATGTGCGCGTGCGCCCTGCCCCCTCACCAGCCCACACCCCCCTGCTGGCACTGCCTTGGCGGCCCGCACCCACCGCTGGCACCTGTCAACTGGCCCCCTTTAGAAAAAGTTTGAGGACCCCTGCTGTATGTGATCAGAGATCGTCTTCCTTAGTTGACTACTGGGAGAAGAAACTTGGTCCTGGTTAAAATCAGGTTACAAGACCTTACAGCAACTCTTGTAATAGCATCTGGATCCTGACTGCCGCCAGTTTTGGGTCTGGCTGATGCTCTTGTACATTCCCACAAAACAAAGAGTTCCTCACCTGCCGGATAAGTGAGGCATATGTGAAGGGGGGGCGGACATCTGCATTTTTGTAAAACTCATGATTCTGTGCAAGTTCTAGGGGGAAGAAAGAACATTATGAAGAAAGGCAAAGGATTCTCCAAACAGACGAAGACAACAAAGCATTCTGATACAGTTGTGGCTTTCCCAGCATTTCTCACCTGAGGAGATTGGCGTGCAGAACTTTTCTGAGTTCCTCCTGCGAATGGGCCCTACACTGTGTAAAGTGGATGAGCTGATGACTGAAGGACCCTGCCGCAATGGAGTAATGGGTGCAGTTGCAGAGGTGGGGGGATGAGGTAATCCATCAGGGAAGGTATCAGAAGTGCTCTTGGAAAGGGTGGCACTGGAGACCAGGTTTAGCTGCTCAGTGAGGATGAGAAAAAAACCCTTCGTTAGAATCAATCCAGGAGACAGAGTGATACATGTAAATTGTGTTTGGACAAAGCAGACAGGTGATCATGGCTTCTTTAACAAATAAGGATAATCAGACAGGAGAAAGGTAGACACTCATCACTGGGGCACCATTAAGTCAGCTGCTGCAGATTGAGGCATACGTTCATTTGCTGTTCCCAAGGAAAACTTTTCTTTGCAAAGGTGATCCAACTCGCATCTAAACATGAATACTGAAACTTTGTCACCTACATCAGTCAGCTACCTGAAGTGGGAAGGAACTACATTGGCTGTGCAACACAATATAAAATATTAGTCACTCTCCCAAGTTAAAAACAAATTCAAAATTCTTGCCAACCTGATAAAAATGCAATATAAAGACAAACTGATGAAATGCAGAAAAAAAAACCAAAAATAAAAAAGAGGTTAAAACCACCAACATGTGCGAAGACCCTCTCTCTCCTGGCCACCCTCCAAACTTTGGAATGAGGGGACATTCAAGGGATAGCCTCCTAGATGACTTTCCAGCACCGATAGCCATGTCTGTGTGGAGGCATTCCATCAGGTGGAGGTCCCAAACCCTGAAGATCTTTATAGTTTAAGTCCCATGCTTTGAATTGGGTTCAGAAACAAATTAGGAGTCAGCAACAAGACCAAACTGATATGTTCAAACAGCTGCTCCTGGTTAAAAAATCTTGCTGCCATATTTTGACCAGCTGTAGTTTCTGGACTGCCATCAAAGGCAGCCTCATATACAGTGCATCACAGTAGTCCAAATGTGAGGTTATCAGAACATGAATCACAGCAGTCAAGTTAGTCATCTGCAGATAAGGTCACATCTGGGATATCCTCAGCCAGCTGGCCATTAGATCTGGAGGCTGGGAGGCCACCAGGATGGGAAGGGTGATATAAATCACAACTCCTAGTAGCTCATTGGTACCATGCTGGCAAATAAAAGGATTTTTCTGAGACAACAGCATACACATATAGTTCTATCTCTTTCTAGAATTAAGGTTGCAAGTATTTCCTTTTATTAATGGAAAAATTAGAAATATAAGGGTAGAAAACCCAGAGAGGGGTATGCATGCAAGCATGCATGTGTGCATCTGTACATTATCAGCATCCTAAACAGCATCCAACATTTCTTACTATTTTAAGCAATGCCAAGAAATCCTGGGGAGTGGGGGACCAGGATGTGGCTGTCTAATGCTAGGAGGCTCCTTTTGGACCAGTTACATACAGTAGTGATTCTCTCTTGCAGCCATCTCATATCCGCATAGGTTAGGATAGGCTTTGAAAGTGCATGCAAGTCCGCTGCCCATCTGCCTCAAGTGTATTGCCATTGGCACCTGTTGACCAGTAACCATGACTGTTCAATTGTAAAAGCTGGTGGGTGATGGCAGGATTTGCTGAAATACTTAATTCACAGAATTAAACTAGAAATACACATGGTAAGACATTCACACACACACAGTGCAGTGAATAAGAGATTAAAAAAATAAAATGGTGGCTATCAGTTTATACAATGAAATGTCCATGAAATAAAACTGGATAGCTCTTTTTTTTAAAAATCACATTGGCAGATAGTATTTGTGGACTTCTGTAATGTTGTAACACACCCTCAATGGTTCAAAGGTGCAGTATACACATCTTAAGTAAATAAATTCTGCCGGGCCAGAAATGGGCATAAATTTGCTCACTCCCTTCCTCAAAATACAAAGCAGTTGAGTTTCAGACATCATGGGGGGGGGGGAAACAAAACAAAAAGCAAAAACTTAAATATTTTGGTTAATGATATAAGTTCTTTCAGAAGAGTCACAGACCAATGTGAACTAAGACCTCAATGAAGCAGAGATACAACATGTCAACAGCTGGCTTTCCTGATAGATGTGTGTCTCAAATGTCTCGGAATGGCTGATAAGATAGTAAAGTGGACAATGGGTGAGGAAGCAGCCAGGAGCACACACTAGGATAGAAGAAGGGTATTTTTAAATCAATTTTTATTTCAGATTGCATATGCACTTCCAGTTGTTTCAGATCCCAAATGGACCGTGTTTTCCCTTTTTTATTTGTCCCTCATGAGGTTGAGTCTGTCTACACAGCTGTTTTTTTCCAAGATGATCAATGCAAACAAAACCATGGCTTGAGTACAACTACCAGCCCAATCCCAATCCATTTTCTCCACTATTCATTCTGGCTACAGCAGCTTTGGCTGCATCAGTCTACCTTGATGCTGTGAGAGTAAGTCACTCTGTATGCTTGGAAGGAGGCTTAGACAGGGACCTGCATATAAATAGAGTGTATATAAAAATTATACCGCCATCAGCATGTATGGCGCTTTACAGAGTACAAGGGGACAGATTCCTGCCCTGATGTGCTCACCAAGCCAATGCAGTTTGAATCATGTCCCTGTCATTGTAAAGCAGTGGTAGCTAACTGGTGGCTTCTAAGCAGTATCTGGCTGACATTATGATTTTATCTAGGCCTTTATATGGATTTCATCTGCAGGGACCAATCTGTGAATATGCAAGCAGCACATCTGGACTGTAATACAGAAGGAGGATTCTGCCAATGTGGAAAAGCAAAGCAGCCAGTAAGGCTTCAGTAAAGACAGGAATATCTTTGCTTTCTTTCATCATCATTGCCACCACCACCATTATTTCTACTTCAAGCCTGGAGACTCGTATGTACTCCTGGGTGATAGACTTCTCCACCTTGAACTTAGCAGTGTTGTCACAACTACAGTTGGCTCAGTTTTGAGTAACTCTTCAACAATAACATGGGCCCAGGGCTTGAGAAGCTGGCAACCTCTGTTGTAACAGAAAGATGTTAAAGCATGTAAGTGAAGAATAGTCAGAGCATTGCTTACAGGCTGACTGAAGGGCTTTGGCTCTGAAGGTCTCATATGGAGGTGGGCCATCATTGCCTGGAGACGTTCACTCTCTTTAGCTAGCTGTGGAGAAAACCACACAGGAAGTCATTCGTTTGGAAAAAGCCAGTTCTCTTCAGTAGTCATGGCACTTAGCCCACATACTTTGCTTGGTCCATCCAGCCTCAACTTGCAGATGTCATCCTCTTTGCTTGACTAATACATCCTATATGCAGCAATATGACAACACAAGGCTTTTCCCTTTAGCTCTAGCTGTGCTGCCCTCCTACAGCACTCCTGGAAGAGAAAAACTGCCACCTTCCCTAATTCTCCAGTAATACTGAATACTGTTGAGAGCCATGAATCTGACGAAGGTATCACATTTCCAAGCCCCCGAAGAGCTGCCTTTTTTGATTGGATATCAAGATCAGGATGTGCAATGGTATTTTCTGCTCTGCTGCTTCAGTTATGCAGCCACGTAGCAGTGCTCGTGAGCTTGCAGTAAAGGAACGGCCTTTGTGTGTACAAAAACAGAAAAGGCTACTTACTGACACACAGGACCACATACTACATACAGAATTCAACATGCAAACACATCTTTCATCTATTAACTTCCACTTGATCTTTCTTTTTTACATGCTTCAGGACTCCTACATGAGCCTATCTACATATCACAGGCATCAGGACACACCTCTGGCAAGCTGAGTAGCTGGATCACTTCTACCATCTTTCAGCACTCTCTCATGTCAAGTACCACCCCATGCCTTCATTTGCACTTACTGGTTGCCTCATCTTGACATTTGTCCATGTTTCTAGTCTCTTCTCTCTTCCCTTCAGTCATCTATCTCACCATGCCTGCTCAACCCAGCCACTCACCTACCCATCCATCTCTCCAGATGTGCAACATTGCTTTAATTGCATGCTCCGGGAGTGTGTGTTTATTTCTCACTGTGCAGAGAAGGGTGAAATATTCGCTGTGGCACAGGGAGAGAGTTTGAGTGCTGCAGGAGCAATGGGATCTGACACCATCTCCTTTTGTGTCACCTCCCCTTTCTGAGTGCTCCCCTTAAATCTTGCGTCAGTTCCTCCCTGACCTGATGGGCCCCTATGCAGAATGTAGGACACACCCAAACAGAGGGTATTTCTCTGCTTTCTCACTGGGTCTGGAATTCCTGCCCACAACAAAAGGAGGGAGAAAGCGATGCAGGAGTTAAAGGCAGCAGCCAGAGAGGAGTTTGCTGAAAAGCTGAGAGGCTCTGACGCAAGGACGCTCTGGCACTGTCGTGGCTCTCATTAGAGCTGACAGATCCACTCTCATGATGCAAACACTCTTGCTGCCGACACAGCAGGAGCTCTGCAGTGAAAACTTTATAATTGGGAGCTCTGGTGGCAGGTTCTCCTTTTCACGCATGGAGCTTTCTGCTCTCCTAAAGGATTCTGTCCCCCACATTCCTCTTTTAAGCTCTAGTAATTGCTTTCAACCTTTTGCTTTAGTGAGTGTTTGGGAACCAGATAGAATCACACGGCTTGACTTCAGGGTGTGCAACAATCTTAGCTCTACTCTTTGAGTGCTGTACTCCTTTCTAATTTAATTTTTTTCCTGGCATGTCTGCTAGACACCCTATCTGCAACCACTGACTTAGTTTAGCTTCCAACAGGGGCTGCCTGCACTGTGTGTTATAGCTGGCCGGCTCGTTGGCGCTCTCCTTCCTCTGCCACTAATCCTGCTGCTGCAGAGAGTCATGTTCCAGAGAATGCTGCGCCTTTCATCCCTGCACTGCTTCACACAGATGCAAACTAGCAACATGGATAAAACAAATTCCCTACTCAATCCCTTCAGAATCCATCAAGCAAGCACCAGTGCTGGCAGTGTCTGAAAAAGAGCCGGTGAGTAAGGAATGGAAAATTCCCTGTTTATTTCCAACCCTGTGCAATAATTATGTATCAGAGCCTTCATGCTGCTTTACCTGGTTCTACACACTGTATAGGCACCCCGAGTTCTCCTCTAAGAATAAAAGCAAAATCTTCTTTTACCACTCTTTGCAATGCTCTTTTTCACCAGACCAATGCTGCATTCTCCTGGCAGTTGTTTACAACTTCTCAGAACCCCAGACTAGCTGTTCACAGAAGGTTTGTGGCTGCTTCTCTGATGAGCAGCAGCACATCCCCTCCTCCCATACAGAAAACATGCCATGAGATGCCAGCATGCTGAATTCCCAGGTTCTAAAATCTCAGGAAGAACCTGGAAGGATACAGGAAGCTCTCTTACACAGGCAATCACTCTTCATGTGCAGAGCTTAATAAAACTAAAAGGCAGAAGGATGGTCACATCATGGATTTTGTACTAGTGGACTTCCCAGGAGGGAGCAAAGGAAATTTGCTGCTCCTGTTTTCAGCAGCAGCTCCATACTTCCTGCAAGTATCATTTGAGTCCCAGAAGGTCCTAAAATCATTTAGTGACATTCCAGCGACACATTCAGTTCTTCAGCCATGGAATAAAAGTCCTGGGTTATGAAAGAGGAGTTGTTTACACCCCTCTGAACTGATGTTCACAGTGCTTGCAATTTCCATCACACATCAGGGGATTTATTTTTGAATGATTCATATTTAGGATTTCTCTACAACGGAGGGGTGAAAATAGGCTCTTATTAGCATATCAGAACCTGCCTCTGCTTATTAGGCCACAATCTCGCTATGCTATGGACCCCTCAATATCAGACAACTAGTCCACTGTGTTTTTTGCTTACTATTGGCAGCCTTTTGAAAACTACAGGCCTCCCTTTGACTTGGCAAGCATGCAAATGGTGAAAAATCTTTCTACAATGGAACAAACAGATAATGGAAGCCTTGAACCACTGTTCATTAAGAGTAATTCCCCTCTGTGTGAGATGTTCTCTAACCCACCATCAGGCACATACCCACTGACAGGTGGCGAAATGAAATGTGAACTGGGTGATATGGAGATAAAAGTTGTGCCAACTGCCATCCTTGCAGCAATGAAATATATTGCCATGACTGTGGCAATTGGTTCAAGCTAGATCCATGTCACACTTCTATTTCTCCATCCAACTGCGGAAACACATGTGGCAGAGGACAGCTCCGAGTGGCTGAAACAAAGGTGGCCACAGGAAAGAAAACATGTGGAGGACATTCTTAACTAGTCATTAGATGCATCCTGTTGGTTCCTAAGGATGCAAGAAATACAGCTCCTTGACTGTGCCGCTTTTCAAGGATTTTGCTTTGCACTAAAGAGTGTTCGCTGCATGTATTTACACTCACCTGTATTTCCAGCTGCTGTACCACTTGCATTTGAACTCGACACTGAGCCGTGCTCCGGTCATCAAGTGCATGTTCTGTATTGAGGTGTCTAAAAACAAAAGACATGATTTTTCTCCTTGAAGAGTCAACATAAATAGGGTTTGAACAATCAGAATTCTTTTGATACTTTTTGCCCATTCATTTTGCTTCTTTGCCTGTTATATTTATTTCCTAGGCTTTCCCCACTTTTCAGACAATTATTAGAGGCCAAAATGGCTCAAGGAAAGTCCTGTAATCAGTTTGCAAACTAAAAAGTCATATGAGGGATATAAAGAAAGGGAAGTGGAGAATCAAAGCAGAGGAGATCAGTTACTCAAGGCCAGAACAAGGCGGTAAACTGAAAACAAGCATTTCTATTCAGCATGGGCCAGGCTGAACTTCACTTGCGGGTGTACTTGCATTGTACTGTATTTGGTGATTCTTGTTCCTTGGGCCAATGGATGTGGTCAAAGTGTTTCCCCCCTTGCTTCTACAGTCCCAGGGCTGTAATGCAGCTGGAGCTGAATTTTCCTTTTTACTAGGAGGAAGCAAAGAATACACCTGAGGCTGGACTTCCTCTGATGGGGTCAGGCTAGTCTTCCCTTTGATGTTATTCCTGGAAAGCGGGAGAGAAGGATGAAGCCATCCACTGGCCCTCGTGTTCCCTGGTCAATGGAGGAAGTCACAGTCTGTTTTCCATCTGCCACTTTTATCACATTATTATCCTGCTATTCCTCTGAGGAGGCTAGGCTAAAAGACAGTGACTTGCCCACAATCCATAATCCAGTGAGCATAATTGGTAACAGGGATTTAGCCAAGATCCAATTCTAACACTCTATCTATTGCTCCACACTGACACTACACATACATAGCAAATAAGAAGTTCTATAATATGTATAATTTGATGGGACAAGGCAATTAATGGGCTGAATTAAGATCCTGAACCACATGCTTATAAACTAGTCAGAAAAAGCACTCCATGTTTCTATGTTCTAATTTTCCTTTTTTTCCTTCAGCCTGGAGAGATGGATCTAAATTGCATTCCCCTTCAAGTGCTCCAGCAGCAGCTTCTCCATTGTAGAGTCTTCATTCTCCTGAATAAACCATCCTCCCCCTTTGGTTTATGCCCTGGTGCTGTTGCTCCTACTGCCAACATGAACGGGTCCACAACTGAAGCATCATAGCCTTTTGCTATCCTAAGTTTCACAAAGCCAAAGCAATTTCCATTTCAAAGCTTCCACCTTTGAGCGATGAATGCAAGCTTTCTTAATGTCAGCCAATGAATCAGAGGCAATGCAGGGAAAAAAACTCAGTTCATTCCAAAAGCTTTGGTCTAATAACTAAACAACATTCCATGCTATGCTTTCTTACTATTTTAAGCAATGCCAAGAAATCCTGGGGGGCGGGGGACCAGGATGTGGCTGTCTAACATTGGGAGGCTCCTGTTGGACCAGAGAACAGTAGCGATTCTCTCTCTTTCAGCCTTCTCCTATCCATGCAGGTTAGGACAAGCTTTGAAGGTGCATGCAAGTGTCCTGCACATCTGCCTCAAGTGTGTTGCAGCTGGCACCTGTTGACCAGTGACCGTGGTTGTTCAGTAGTAAACAGCTGATGGGTGATGGCAGAGTTTGTGGAAATGCTTAATTCACAGAATTAAACTACAAATATACCTGATTAGACACACACACTGTGCTTTCTAACATCTCCAGCCCTTCCAAATGTTCTTTCCAACCCCATACAACATTCTGTTCAAAGGCAGTGGGGTGGGAGGTGGGCAAGTGTGGGGGGGGATGAAAAAGGGGGTATGTGCATGGGAAAGGGTGTGGGAAGCATGTGTAGTTAAAAAGCACAGAAGTGTGTGTGTGGGGTGGGGGGGAGAAATACCGAACAGGCAGGAAAAGAAAACCCGTCAGTTTCATCTGATGTCTTTGCTAAAAATCTTGGCTACAAAGAGATCTAATTGCAAATGAACTAATTAAGTAAACCTCTGACGAAGCGTGAAAACAATTTGTTTGACCCTGACGCTAGCAGAGGGCTCTTAGACAGCGGAGTTAATCAGTCAGTGACAGAGCCCACAAGCGGTGTCAGCAGGCTGCCGTGCTGCCATCTGTTTCTTTCTAGTTCTACCCCCACCTTCTCTTTTTTCCTAATGTGGATGAGCTATAAACTTTACTGGTCTGTCTCCTCTCTCCCCTGAAAGCCTTGTCATTTCTGTAGGTTCCAGTCAGGCTCTTCTTTGGCACTGTCTTGCCTGCAGCCCTCTTACCCTTCTACTTTCTATATACCTGCCAGAGACTAGCTGCTTTTGAGATCTTCCGGGCAGCAGGGACTTGGGCTGTATCTTCCAGAAGAAGAAGAGAAGAACCCTGCTCCATTTCACAAAAGGGGAATGGAGGCACAAGCATTGTAGTCAATGTTTCCAAGTGCAACAATGCCAGATGGGACTCGAAGTGGAGGGGTGTAGACTGGCAACGTTTGTAAACAGTCAAGCATCAAACCTCGCTAATTACTGATTTGTAGGAAGAAAAGCCTCCAGGGTCAGAGGAAACCATTCCATGGCCTTCCATTTTGTAAAAATGTGAGGTCTCTGGTCTACAAGGAAGCAGGAAGCAAGGGAGGACAGGTAGAGTGAGAGAATGTAGCAACTTTCAAAGACCTTAAACAGATGGGGGGCACTTACTTGACAAACTGTCCCAAGTCCTCACAGAGGGTTTCACAACCAGGCCACTTGCACTCTCCGTGACCATACAGAGGATGAGAACCAGGAGACTCCTCATGAGAAGAGCTGCAAAGGGGAGGCGAAGGAAAACAAAGTAAATATTTATTAAAACATTTCTTTGCCGCCCCTTGCCGAGGGCGGCTTACCACATCAAATAAAATACAAAATCCATTAAAACAATAACAATTAAAATATATACAGTAAAATAAAATAAGCCGCCCTGGCCGAATAAAATTCAATAATATTAACATTTAAAATATCACAGCAGAACTCTAGGCAACTCAAGGCAACTCTGGCCCTGCCTGCAGAAGTTCTAATGAAGCTTTGGTTGAGATGTAAAGGGCCAGAAAAACTGAAAAAGGAGTATTTCCCCCGCCGCTTCACATTTCTGTGGTCCATACTAGAAAAACTTTCTGCTGAAAGGTACACCCACATGATCATATATGCTCATTCCGATCAACCAGCCTCAACAGAATGTATACTGCCAAAACAGAGCAGATGGCTTTCACTTGCATGACTAATAAGGGCAGCATAATTCTAAGATGCTAGAACTGTAAGTGCTGATATGGACTATCAAAATGATCTGGGTCATTATTGTTCAGCTGTTAGATCCATCCTACAAGCGGATGCCCAAGTCTCATCGCTGGCACAGCACACCTTTTAGCCACCTTAGTTGGTGTGGCAGATATGGTCCTTCCGTGATCTAGCCACTGTCATTCATATCCTGGTCTTATCCAGCTTAGATTATTATAATGTGCTGTACATGAGAATGCCTATGTGCAGGAACACTACTAGTTTTGAACATAGTTGCAATGGAACATACTTCACTAGTACTGAAAGAACACAACTGGTTACCAATTTATATTTAGACATAGTTCATTGTGCTGGTTCTCAACTAGAAGGCTCTCAGTGACCTGAGACCAAGCTATCTGGAGGATTCCTTACTAGTATGTGAGCCTGCTCAGTTGTGAAGATCTTTACAGGAGGCCTGAATATGGGTGCCTTCATCTTCTGAAGCGAAAGATGGCTATTAGACCTTTTTGACACTATCACTTCATTTACAGAACGTTTTCTGAACCACCATTTGTCTGGTACCTATTCTTCTAGCTTTCAGGCACCGAGTAAACCCCGTTTCCCCAAACTTTTAGCAGACTTGCTGGTGTTGCTTTAATCTGCTTATGTTTCTGATCTATTAAGATTGTCCCACAGGTTACTTCTTTGCTTTAATATTTTAAAGATATGCTGCAATACACCTTCTGAAGTACAAATATATAAGGAATTCAACACAAAATATGTTTTAAATAAATACATATAGTCTCATACTGAAGTCATAAAACATCCACTGCATTTATGCTCCTGACATGGCTCTGAAAATGAATATCAAAGTATACCTTACCTGCATGTGAGACTCAAGAAGCGCCAAGACTTACACAGCTTTTATATCCAATTCTGAGAACAGGTCTTATAGAACCAAATTTTACCACAGAATGGCTTTATGGACATGGCAATTAATGCTACCTTTTTTAAGAAATGGTACATGTATGAAGGCTGTCCAGACATTAAGAACTGTGGTTTATACAGCAAAGGGAACGTAGTGCAGAAACGTGCTGTGCTCTATTATACATATTTTTCCCCCCAGCGGGCTTCCCCCAAATCACCAAAGAGAGAAGTCATAGTTCCAGTGCACGTGTGCCTTAAGAGTGCTACCAGGTGGCTCTAACTGTCTCGACTGGAGGCACTGAAGCATAGCTTCCTATCTCTGCAGTGTAAATCTATGTGATGTTTCTTGCTGGCAGACATACAGATTGTGTATTTAGCACAGATGCTTTCTTGTCATTAACATGGAGCTGACACAAGGGAGAGTCTCAGTCTTTCTGCAGGGTCTTTTACTTTTTTTGCTTTCCGGTAGAGTGACCAAGCTGGAATATGGAAAGCTGCTGATGGCACGCTCCCAAACAGTGCAACATCTAAGTCATTTCCCTGACGTTAATTAATTTAGCCAGTGAGGCAGACTGAAAAGTTAAGCCTGTGTCTGCACCAGTTTACTCCCCAAAAAGAAAGCAGCTGAACTGGCCTGGGAAGAGTCTCCTCAACAGATAGAGAATCCATTCAGGCATATAGCCCCATTTTCCAGTGGCAACCATGCTAAATGTGCAATATTAATTGAGCCCAGATTGCAAATTATTAGACCTGAATCAAGAGGAACTCTTCTCATGCCCTAATCTGCTCCATGGCTCACTAGAAAGAGGGCCAATCACAAATTGGACACCATGCCCAGTAATCCAACACTGTGCCAAACTGCAGGGCAAACAGCACCAGAGTCATAGATCTGAAACTCAGGAGATAAAACTAGACTCTAGAGCCTTCCCAGTCATCCATGTCGACTACAAGGCCTCCTATGAGAGAGTTGCCACATTCTTTACAATGTCTAAGATCCTTTACAAATAAAAGCCCATCAGTTCCTACCTGTCCCTCCTTTGTGCGAGCATGGCGTTCTGTCCATTAGGGAGAGGGTGATGGGAAACTGGAGGAGAGACCTTGGTGGCTGAAAACGAGGTAGAATTGGAGGTGTTGGTGCTGAGGTCAAGTCCCTCTTGCTTGATACTGTCCTCGACGGGCTGTGTAGCAGTAACCTCTTTCCACAGCTGCTGAAGGTCTGAGGGACACACAGCTTCAAACATGTTGGAGAGAGCAGAAGAAGTGGAATGTTGGAGGGGAGGGAGGGAAAGAGAGAGAAGGTTTTAGAACAGGTCCTCAGAATTGGCACTAAGACAACCAAACAATCCATGAAGCCTCAATACCAATACAAATTTCTAAATTGATGAAAACTGGTAATAGTGCCCCCGAGGTAAGAAAAGACTGGAAGGAAAGAGAGAGGATTGTTCAATAACCCAAGGGGCTGGTTGGTGGATTTTTGTTTGTTTTTCATTTGGCCTGTGTGGGACTATATATTATGTGTCCTTCTGGCAGCACATACATTGCATGCTATAGAATGCACGATGGATTCATTTTTGCTTTGATTTTGTCAGCTAGATAATCACACTGCCTTTCACTTAAGTATGTAGATAGAAATGTACAGTAGGGAAGCAGCTAAGTGGCCATTCAGGCTGTTAGTCCATTCCATATTTGCATTCAGTTACTCTGTTTCTGAAGGATGTAGGTAGGCTCAAGTTCTGATCATCACGACCAAATGGATCCAGAACATCAGGCTGAAATTTCAAATGAATTCTTAATTTTCCATTCCAAATCACCCTGGGCACCATGATACAAAACTAGACAGGTGTAGACAGGTATTGAGAGCCAAGAGAGGGATGAAAGTATATTCAGCCACCCTGCTGTAGACATCAAGATGGGAAAAGGGAGGCCATACAATTAGCAACATTTGAGCACAGCTTTCAAGCTCCCTCTGCCTGGGACACACATGCACACACACGTGTACACACAGAGGCACAAACACACAGTGTCAGTGCACGGAGCAATGCTCTTAAAATGCTTAAAGGACCATAATTAGCATGACTGAGGCTGCATATATTAAGTCCAAGCTCTGTTTGTTTCCTTAAGGACAGTCTCTTAGGTAGAAAGGGGCATAAGGTTTCTCTATAAAGCAAAGCTACTTTGTGCCCACATCCCTTCCTTCAGACAGAAAGCAGCAGCAGCATCACATTGAAACTTCTACTATAGGCAATTACTGTATTTTGTACTTAAGGTAAATATAAAAATATTAGGCCCCAGCTCTCTCCTATCAGCAACACAGCTCCAAGTCTTTCCTCAAACAAGAGGTGGATCAGGCACATTACATTCTAGTCTAATAATGCTTTATTGATGTCTGTTTTATCGCAAAAGCGAAAGCATGCCAAATGTTAGGCCCCAAGTGCACTGAAAACATCCCGATTTTAAAATTAACAGAAAATCGACTGGCTATGCTAATTGCTGCTCTGGGTGGGTGGCTTGCACCCTACAATGCTTAAAGAGCAAGGAAGCTTATGCGCATTACCTTGTGGAAGGGTCTGCAGAGGAACGGTGCCTTGTCCTGGCTGTAAACTGACCAGCCCTTGTCGCTGGAGGTTTAACAGGTGCTGCTGCTGCAGCTGCTGCATCTGCAGTAGCTGTTGTTGGAATGCCAGCTGCTTATTCCCTAATGGCTGCTGGAAGACAAAAGGAAAAAATCAAAACACATTATTTTCAACCCTGCAGCCCAGGCCTTCCGGGATTCTCGAGGGTCTTGTATAAGCAGCCCAATTCCAGCTTTAGCTTTGCTTGCAGCCAGCCCTGCTCACATTCCTGATCTCTTGTCCTCAGTGGCCACACAGCAGATAACCACAACGGAAAGCCTTTGATCTATCAGAACAGCAGAACGAAGGGAGGGTGGCGGAAGAGGAGAGAGCGAGCCTGCTTGGCAGAGCACTAAAAATGCTGAGTCTCTCTGTCAGATGAGCATTTCTACAAAGTCTGTGCATTTGAATTGGCATAAAGAGACAGAATCCCTGTCTACTGAACCTACCTACCCTAAACACACATGGATTAAGCTCCTATGAGCAACATGAAGGGTATGAAGGGTATGCACACATAAACACTGTAACCTCAGTGGCTTTAAAAGGCAACAAGTTCACCTTCACACAATAAGTCGGCGCTGCCCAGGCCCTGTTTAATTCTAATATTGGAATATCAAAGACTGAGTTCTCCCACTGGTCACACAGTCTTTTCAAGATACATTTAACTGTATTAGCAAAAGGACCTATTTTATGCAAAACACACCTCCTGGAAGGATTTACAAACAGATATCTGGAGATTTATGCAAGGCTTCACAGAGAAGGAATTTAGCACAAATATTGCATACAATGTAGCAAGGGTTTTGCAGAATTGGTCAGACATACTCATCACTGTATTTATATTATGGACAAGAAATGTGGTATGATTGTCAACCCAATAAAAATGCCAAGTTAAGCTGGAGAATAGGAACATAACTGAAATAGGACCCATATACATTAAGGGCACTAAATGATCTTAACACTCAAGAACTCTAGTTTGACTGGCTTGAAAAGCAAGCACCTAAGCCAAGAGGAGTCACCGTGGTGCCCAAGGACATGAAGATGACCTTCAAGACCTTTCTTGGTGCCCACCTACAGGCTTCCAGCTGTCACCAATCATTTCCTATGAATATCTCTGGGATACAAGATGGGTGGCAGATGCATTCATAAGGAATGAATACAAAGGGGGATGGGATGGGATGAGGGAGAGAGTGTATGCATCTATGGTGATCCAATGTGAGTGATAAAAAGAAGGGGAAATGAGTTGGCTGGCAAAGGAAGGGGTAGTGAAGAAAAGCTTATCTTCTGTGAAATAGGTTTCTGGTGGTACTGAAAACTGTGGGAGTTATAATAATATAAAGCAGTTATTTACTGTGGTATAACTCAGACCCACCTCTGCCTTGTAAACAGCTGTTTGGGTAGGCTATGTGTCCTTTATGAATAGCTATGCTTCCCATGGCATCCATGAGGTTGCACCCCTGACAGCTTTTCAAATTCTTACATGTGCCCAAAGGCCAAAAAGGTTGCCTACCCTGACCCATACCCATGACTCAATGACATCCAAGTGCTATTGTATCCATTAGGATTCAGGAATATTGGCTAAGATATGCTTGTGTATTCATGGGGAGTTTCTGGCAAAGAATAATTTGTATATAGCTTAAAAGCAAAGCTCAAAGCAAAAATGAGAGGCTTAAATTCCAAGTCAAATATATTATTATTACTATTATTGTTATTACTATTAAATACTAGCCATAGTAAAATAATTTATGAGGTAATTTTCCTAACAAAAATCACTACATAAATGATGGAAATATTTGGAAATAATTATCAAATTCCAAAATTGTGTATTTTATATAATAAAAGGTTTCTAGAAATTTCCTCTTGCTTCACTAAGATTTGAGATGTGTGAGGGAACTGTTTTGGGGTGGGAATCCATCAGGTTTCTTGGCATGGCTGCCCAGAATCCAGCCCACTTTTTTGCATCCATGAATCTGCAAATAAGCGCACCAAGCTTACCAGGAATTAAGCCTTACGTGGTGCTCCTCTTCCACACACACAATTTGCAGCCTTTGTCTGTGCTGACTGTGACATGGAAAAAGGTTGCCTGTCATGCAACCAGACTTCTTTCAGCATTCACAGACTTCCTCTCAGCTTGACCATCTTTCTAAGACAGGAACAAGCTCAGGAGGAAGGCCACAAACTGAAGAGGGGCTGATTTTGGGGAGCAGATTACAAAATAGTAAACAATTACACATAAATAGATAAAAGGAATTTAAAAACTTAAAACAAAACAAAAACCAGAATATCACTAAAAAGCCTATCTGCTCAATCAACAAAGCCTTCCTGAAATAAATGTTTTCAGCAGGTGCTAAAACCAACACAATGTTGGTACCTGTTTATCCTCACAAGCCAGGGAGTTCCAGAGAAATGGAGCTGTCATACTGAAGGTTCTTCTCAGGGTGGACTCCAACTGGGCCACATAATTTGCAGAACCACCAGGAACATCCCATCTGATGCCTTCAGTTACCAGGTAAGTTGATAAGACAGAAGCTATACTTTCGAGTACCCTGATCCCAAGTAATTTAGGGCTTTATACACTAGAACCAAAACCTTAACTTGAGCCAATACTGAATAGACAGCCAGTGCAGTTCCTCCAGCAAATACGTTGCTTGCTGTAAAGGGGAAAGTACCAACAACAGCCAAGCTGCTATATTTTATATTAGCTCCAGCCTCTGAAAAAGCGTTAATGGCAGCCCCACGCAGAGTGACCAACAGAGGACATAGTTGAGAAACCAGACCAAGTTGCCAAAGTCACTTGGGAGTCCAGCGACCGTGATGGCTCTAGACTACAAAAGTGATCTTTCAGAGGAAGTACAACCCCAGCCAGAACAGGCAATGATTTTGTCTCCTGGCTTAGGTGACCACTCACTAAGCTTTCATCTTGCCACAATTTACAAGGGCCTCAGCTGGATCATCAGCTCTCCACTAAAAAATCCCCAAGAGCATCTAAAAATCCATAGGGTTCTATCAGTCTCCTGGCATGAACCATCCAAATGACATCCCAAGGCAGAGCTAAAGAAACAGCCCCAGCATGTCAGTTAAAGTCTCCCAAAACCACCAGCCTGGGCTTCTCCAATACCACACTTGAGATCATATTGATCAGCTCAGTGGGCAATACACCAGCAGCATCCCCAGTTTGTTCCAATGCCCCCAAAACCAAGGATAACCCAAAAACTCCAAGGTGGAGTGTTTTCCTGGGAGATGGATGTAGGGTGGACTTCCTAGCCCCATGACCCTCCAGCTTATGTTAATGCTGCATTGAGTATCCAGGAAGGAAAAGTGAGTCAGTTTAGTCCAGCTCAACTCAGTCAAGTCTTAGTAATATACTCCAGATCAGCCTTATCCACAATTAAATTCTGAATGAGAGCCAGTGTGGTATAGCTGATAAGAGCTTTGGACTGAAACTTAAGAGAACTGGGTTCTAGTACCCACCATCCCTATAGCTCACTGGGTGACATTGGCCCAGTCTCAGCTTAGCGGGATTAAGATACTCTCATTACAACAGATTCTCATCTTAACAGGATTGTTATTGAGAGGATAAAATGGAGGGTAGGAGAACCTCGTAAGTTGCTTTGGATTCCTTGCAAGAGGAAGAAAGATGGGATACAAATGCAATGTGATGAGGGTAATGATGATGATTGGGGTTTTACTGTACACCATCCTGGTATTAAATAACAACAACACAAGACAGAAGAGTTCAATGGATGAGCTACCAGGTATATGAAACTTTACTGACTAAGGGGTGATGGGAAATCTCATCTTGCACCAGTCAGTCCAACAGATTATGAAAGGCTGTTTCCAAGGCATGATCCAGGATGAAGCCACCTTGCTGAAGCAAGCAGCTCCCTGCATGAGAGTCCTCCTGTACACTGCCCAGCATGGAAGAATGTTAGACTGTATGTATTGTAAAGAATATTGATGCAACTATTAACTGACATCCACAGGAACCTAAAGACACAATCTCCCTGTCCACCCCCACTGGCTACTCCACTGCATTAAACCTGTTAAATCATTTACATTTCAGTATTATATTTCAGGTGAGAGTATAGTGAAAGCTAAATCCATGGGTAACTGGAATTGTGCATTTGCTCCAACACAACTTTAGAACACAATGCTACACTGTCTACTCTGAAGGAAGTCCTACTGAGTCCAACAGGGGTCACTCCCAGATAAGTTGTAAAAGGATTGCAATGCTTGACATAGTAATTACATATCCAAAGAAGTTGTTAAATATCTGCAGAAGCATAGCAAAACAAATTACAGAACAGAAAGGAATAAACCAGAAGAGAGATGGGAATGAACAGAGGGCAGTGAAAGAGGAGTGGTGATAATCTGCACATTTATAGTTGTTTATTATTTAAAACAGACATGATTATTTACATGTAGCCCATGGGCTATATATACTTCCATCTGTTTCATATCTGGCTTTAACCAGGCTTCCCGCATAGTTCTAGTGCTAAACATAGAAAGAAAGAGCTTAAACTATTGCCACCAACAAGTTACATTTCTTTGTGGTATGGATTTTCATAATCACAATTTTTGTTTGTTTCTGGAACCATGTGGTGCAACACTAAGTTTCTACATCAGGGGTGGGCAACTTGTGGCCCACAATTTCCATCATTCCTCACCACGGGCTATGCTGTCCAGGAAGTTATAGGGCAAAATTTCTGAAAGATCACTTGTCGCCTGCTCCTACTATATATCTAACTGTTCTGCAAGGCATGAAGGACGCCAAATCTTTTACTTCTTCACCTGTCTCTGTCTCCTATAAACACCTCTTCACCCATATCACAAATGTGGCCCCTGCTGCTGCTTTCTTAATTTTAGCTGAACCCCCATTTCTCCTATTGATCCCTTTTCTCTGAAATCTGATCCTCCATAGATCCAGCCACCAATAAAGACTAGCCACATTCAAATCAGTGGACTCTTTGGGCAGCCAAGGAGACAGAATGTCTGTCATATATTTCTTTTGCCATGAGCACAATACACTGAAGCAAACCAAGCCGTTTCAGGGCCCTTTCCCATCTATGCGATGCTATCTTTCCTTCAACTTTCTC